TTTTTTTTTTTTTTTTTTTTTTTTTTAGCTTAAGCTTTTTAAGATGTTGGCGAGCCCGGCTGCGTTACTTAGACTGGAGAACTCGTCACGGTGTCACGGTTAGCTAGGGTCTCGTGGTGTGTTTGCTACTCTGATACGAACTTTGCCTTAAAAACAAACAAAAAAAATAAACTCATAATTCACGCTGGGGGAGGGGAGGAGAGGTAATTCGACGCTGACGTGGGGATACAAAGCTCAAGTGAGGGTTTGGGTAAATGATAGTAAAAGACATTATTTTTACTTCCCCTGGCCTGGGTTCTCCAAATCCAAGAGACAGGAATCAAGTATCAGCCTCAGCGGGGTTAGGAGGACAGTCTTTGGAGCCAGACCTGGGTGGAACGGAGCCTCTGCTCCGGGCCTCACTTGCTTCGTGACGTCACCTCTCTGAGGTAGGTCCCAGGCCCTCCTCTGTAGATTGAGGAGAGCAGAGCACCCCCGTGGGCAGGTGAAAGGCTTACATGAGGAAATTAATGCATAGATAGTATTCCCCAGTACATCTGGCATATTGCAGGTGCTTAATAAACTGTCGCTGGTTTTGACCGAGGAAACATATAGTGAGGTGGAGTCCTGCCCTAAGTGTTGGGTCCAAGAGAGACTCCGTTCACGTCATAGCTTGGTCCTGTGCTAGGGACAACCGTGCACTGCGGGAACGCGTCACCACTGGGAGACGGCGATTCGCTTTGTAGCATACTGCAGTGCTTTATGACATTTACCGAAAGCCAAATTGATATCTTACTACTGGACGTTTTTATTTTCATGGAAATTATTATCATTTTTTGCAACACAAAGATATTTAGGGGAACCGATGACTTCGGTTTGTTAGTTTTGTGTTTAGGATCTGTGGTACTAGGGTATTGAGGTGATGTGCACCTTTTATCTGTGACCGGATTGCCCGAGTGCAGAGCAGATGGGACACGTGGAAGGCATCAGAAATTCATAATCGCACCCGTCCTAAAAGCTTAAAAATAGTGGTGGCCAGTTGTTCTCGAAGATGAGTGCGTGCACACCCAAGAGTGGTAATAACCAGTCGGCGGGTGGCATGGAGGCCACAGGCTGCCACGAGGCGGCTGCAGAGGATCGTCTGCACACGCGTGGGGCGTCCTCTGACCGTCCTGCCTCTCTCCCCTTCCCTGTCCTCTTCGGTCCCTCCCTCCGCCCGTCGTCCCCCCCCTTTTCTGTCTCTGCATCCTTTGGCTCTCATACACCCGCTCCGCTACATAGTGTCTCCTTTTATTTTGTGAGCCAGAAAAGTTCAGAGAGAGAGGGACCTGAGACCGGATGGTCTTTTTATGTTGCCCTGGTTTTGGAAAGGGACACCTTCGGAGGAGCCGCAAGGCCCCGTCCTTTCTGCTGCTGTCGGGGGAGGGGGCATGGTCCCCGGAGATGCCCTGCAGCGAGCGAGAGCTGACACCCCAGCCCCTTGCGCCCCGGGATGGACGGCTTCTCCATGGCCTCCCAGCAGCTGACCCCCGTAAGGACTGAATCAAAGCCGTGGAGGGGTTCAGTCGGATGGGTCTTGGCCTACAGTTGGGTTTTTGGCAGCGGCGTGTGGAAGGCAGTGCATTCTTCAAGAGGGCAGGAGTATTCTTTTCCAGAAAGGAATGAGTAGGAGGTGCCAGCAGATATCTCTGGAGAGGGACCCTTGTTTATCCACGGGACCGCTCAGGCGGGGACAGCTGCTGGGGGACGACTTTCTCACACTTCCAGCCAATCTTCTAAACCGTCCTCGACCGGTGGTCCAGCCGGTGGGGAGCACACTGATGCACGGGTTCCTCTCGCCTTCCAAGGGCAGAGAGAAAAGCCTGTGATTAGAATGGAAAACATGGGCATGACAACAGGTATCTGTTATTCTCTGTAGTTAGAAGATTTTCCCCATGCTCTTACTCCCCTCCCCTTTGGCAGCCCTCCATCAGCTTGTTCTCTCTCTGTGGGTCGTCTTCTGTTTTGTTTTGCTTACTCGCTGGCTTTGTTTTTCTTAAATTCCACATATAAGTGAAATCACACAACACTTGTGTTTCTCTGTCTGACTTATTTCACTTAACATCATACCCTGCAGGTCCATCCGTGTTGTTGCAAATGGTAAGATTTCACCTTTTTCTTTTTTATGGCTTAGTAATATTACATTGTATATACGTTCTATTTCTTCTTCCTCTATCTTAGTAATATTACATTATATATATGTTTTCTTCATCTATCTTAGTAATATTACATTGTATACA